TTTTTCTCATATTTTAAACTTCAACTCTAAGCAAACGTTTTAAACTAACATCTTAAAGCAATAACTGTGCCTTTCAGAGGAAGTTTCTAGGGGATTTAGACACAAAATGTAAATTTAAATTAAGGATTATAAACGTTTATAACATCTCGATAAATAATTTTTCTTCATTGTTAAAAAAATAGTTTCGTAGAGAAGCAGCAAGAACGCCGTTATGGCTGAATCCGGAGTAACAAATGCAATGACCCTGCATCTAATGGTGGATCAAGGCATCTGTAGGACGAATCAAACTTGATGTAGCTGATACCCCATTTGAAAAACAAGCCTAGATTTATGCCGAAAAGATGGCTACGGCTGAGGGAATATCTAAGCTGTTAAGGTCGTCAGAACAGAAAGCAGAACGAGCAAAATGATCAGACAGGAATCTACACAAGGGGACCATTACTACGACACGACACCAACAACCAGACATTTTTACTTCTGAATATCGGGAGTCACTAGTTTTTGTACACGATTCGTATTCCATTTTCGTTCAACCATAGTTGCTGACCAAACGCAACTTTCATTACATTAGACTTTGCCTTAACTAAAGTCACGATTCCGACACCAATTACGGCTACCCGCCAAAACGCGAGTAATAAGATGAAGTTTACCCATCGTGCCAGTAGCTCACCAACTTGAAATACAGGTCGCTGCGGATCGTGTTTCAAAAAACAGCGATAGCGTAATACGTGATTTGTATGACACTGATTAACGAACCAAAAATTTTCATTTTTAATAAAGACCTATTGACGTTTGAATTTGAAACCAGTTCGTAGATTCTTTGAAATCTTCCTTTGGAAGCCACACCAACTACTTCCACAAAATATTAAGGAAACTTTCAAAAACTTGGTTTTACGAACTTGTTTTCCTAGACTCTCGACTTTTAAGCTTCTGGCTTCTGTACGTTCCTGAAAAGGACAAAACCTTGCAAACCCAAGTTCAAGCTGTAATCCGGACGCGCATGTGAACTATAGTATGTTGATTTTAGATATTTAAATATCTTCATCTTCCATCGCCGCTTCTCCTTTCGGGTCGCGGAGATATTTAAATATTACAAAACGAATCCTCCAAAATCGGATTTTACGGTGTACTGCACCTATCGTTGCGTCCAATTGCCTAGGCGGGCGGAATAATTAACAAACAAACGGTCAATTGCACTTGAATATGGACAGTGTTATGAAACTATTGGCATAATTTCATTCGCTCAGCAATCTCTTCCTTATCACGTCCTTTTGCAAACTGGTACTCTGAATATATTACTGCATGAATATTATAAGGGTTTGTACTGAAAACAGCATAAAACTTATTAATAACACTCAACACGAAAACAAGATCAGTCATTGCGCATTACTAAATCACATTTTATGCTGATTTTTCGTATGACTACTAACACATGAACGAAATACTCTAACATGGGTTCGCACATCGTAATATGCTTACAAGCGCTAGTTTTTCGAATAGAATTAATGAATACTACGCCATGATATGAAAGACAGCTGCACATTGGTTTATCTGAATTTATTCTGCTGTATAATGTACTGCATGGAGAAGGTATTGAGGAGCTAGATTGTAGATCGAGCGCATCGCAGGCCGTGAACTGCAAAACAACACTCAGACATGGAAATAAGTTTTGATGAGGTTAGCCAGGAAATTAATATCGAATAGTCCGATAGCAGGACTGTGAAGCAGAAGAGTGCACATCGCCATTACGTATGTCGTCAAAGATCGAAAAGTCTGACCTTCGAACTCAATTAGAAATGATTTAGTAGAGTGGGCTGAGTTTCCTCGCAGACAATTCCTGCTAAATACAAAGAAATGGCAAAAATTTTACAAATACGGTGTTAGACGCAGTGGCATTTCAACCTATAATCTGCAACCCCTTTCAATCCATACAGATTAGCCATTCTCCCGTTACATATGGCAATGAACACAGCGTAGATTTTATACCGAAAACGTTCAAGGACTGAAGTCACTCCTCATTTTTGAGCCCAATATCATTCTAGAATGTTATGTTGCTTCCATGAGGAATTCAAAAATCGAATAACAGCTGCTGGTCTTACATGTGCATCAAAGACACAAAAAAGAACGGAAAAATGAATATCAAGAACGATATTCGGACAACACTTAAATGACCTAAAAACAACAGTCACCGTCAAACTCCGCCGTAAGTATCTACAGAAATAAAGGCAACACTACAATATAGTTGTGTCGTTGTTCGGAAACTGCGCCAGCATGATCGGAGTGGATCAGCGGTAGTATTTAAAGCGTAATCAAGCATCAGCAACAAGCGATAGGCTTTATCCACAGCCACAGAGTCAAACAGTGCGGCTCAGACGAGATTATCAAAAACAATCTCACGTCACCCAATGCTAAATCAGCTTTAACTTTACAAGAGATGAGTTGGATGTTACGCCCTAACCAAAACCTTAAGATAATCTAGAATCGATTCGGTTCGATCGCTCTGACTCGATTTACACGGTTTGGACAGACCTCATTCGTCAGCTCATTTCGAATGTGCAATTCCAGAATGCTCACAAACATTCATTAGCTGTAAAAACCTTAATTTCTAAAAGTAGCACTTTGAAATCTAAACTTCAACATTCCATTTTCAGGATTCCACCATAAAAGACAGAAATCGACAATCGAGCTTAGAAACCAATCAAAAAAGTGTATGGCGCAAAAGAAAAGAGGGTGAGAAGAAGCTGTCGATGAGAAGAAGCTCATCCAACTAAACAGGTAGTCCTGCACTTCTGTACGGGTAACATGTCTGGCCATCCTCGAAAGATGCGACAACATCTGAACCGTAGAAGTGCGAATGCTAATACTGTGATATGTGATATCAGTAAGATGGGCTACACTATAAATATTTACATACGGGGTACATGTGGTGTAGAATCGAGATCATGAAAATATACCGTTTGGCAGCTGACCAGAACTAATGGAAAGGCCTCATAAAAAAGCTAGGTCCGTGACCCAAAAGAAACGGGCAATGAAAATAAAAGAAATGTTGCTATGGTCATCGTCAAATTCAAACGATTCGTCTTTAGATTATCGCAGCAGAGAACAACTGTTGCGTTACCATGACTCTAACTTAGGTTCCTGTTGCACACGCAGTTTCACCGCATCGAAACTGGTCTTGATGGGGTCCTCAGCGTAGGTGCCCAAATACGACTCGACAAACGAATTCGACAGGGGCAGTTCTTCCAATCTGCGCGTCTAAACAAGTCTAACTAATAGCTTTTCAGCCTCAAACGGTTTTTGCCATGCGTTGCTCACCGACATCAGTTCCTTGGCCTTCGCTGCTGCATAGTCGTTCATCAGCTGATCGGTCATTCGAAAAGTAGTCATGTCTCGATATTCCTGCAACGCAAACGCGCACGAGAAATCTGAATGGAAATTTGTCGCTATTGTAACCAACAAAGTTTCAAAACAACTGCATTGAAAACGATAACCTAACGAACGAATGCCATCCAGGCAAACGTCAACCAAAGACTATAAGTAATCGTTTCAGTTACAGTGCTTGAATGTCTTCTTGAAAGAAACTGAATTCAAAAATATGCAGCATCAAAGAGCCACTGAAAATAGGATCTCGAAAACAAAATGGTTCTCCTCCTAAAATACGATACTGTGGAAGGGAACAAATGGATACATTAGATAATAAGAATAAGAAGACCGAAAGCGATGAAGTCAGCACAAATAAAAACAACTTGTATGAAACAGAGCAAGGGTGTCAAATGAGGGTTACAGACACGATAAGCACAGTAAATCGGCTGGTTTCAGCGACTTTAAAGTATCCAAGGCAAAGGTCTCACCATATAATGCGTCTTCCAATCGACCAAGCGCCCTATTAGCTTTTCCACGACGCAGCAAGGCTTTCACATAGCGTTTGTTAAGTGCAACCGCTGAGCTACAATCGTCAAGCACATTCTGCAGATCTCCCTAGAAACAATTCAGCACTGTCAAAAGCGAACTGACAACGCGACGAAACGAATACGAGTCTTTCAAATGTAGCTGCTCGGTTTTGATAGAAAGTGGCCAAATCCATGGAACGGTCCGGAGGACAGTTTTCAATCGCCGCCGTAAAGAATTTCAGGGCCTCTGCATAATCACCTTTCATGAATGAGTTGTTTCCCATTTCTTTGATGGCCGCGGAGCTCAAACTGCTTAAATGGTCGGTCGGTGTTTCCCCAACTATTTCGTTCTTCTGAAACATCAGATGTCAAGGTCAGAAAATGAACAGGTCTCGCTTTTGAACAAAACACCAACAACAGCAAAGCTATGTACAGCAAAACCTAGTTAATTCAATACACTTCAATTCAAATTTTCTCTTAAACTTAATACCGAAAAATAAATTTCTCCACATGACAACCTAGTACAGGTTGACTATTCCCAATCCGAAATGTCTGAGACTAAGATTGTTCGGATTTTAAATTTTTCCAAATTTTTTAATACATGGCATGATGGAGTTGAAGACAACTGAGAAAAAATTCAGACCTTCAAGAAAATTAACATGGTAGTCACAGACACTGTAAACTGACAATGTTTGACGCTTTACTTTATACACATGACAGCCGCGTTAAGAAACGGGACCAACATGAGAATTTTCTCCCATTAAGTAGAAACGTGCCTATAAGAACTGATAAAAAAACTCATACCGGGTCACAAAATTCCAAAATATAAATTGAAACCATTTAACACGTTTTCTCACCCAAATTCTCCATCTGAATACAAAACATAACGAATCAGCTTCTTCTGAATAAAAATATTTATGTCCCAAAACAGTGAATTCCTATCCAACAAGTCTGCCTGCTGTGAGAATGAAATTACGGATGTTGCAGAAAGCGGCACAGTAGCTTCTCAAAAATCACAAGAAAATGAACTGCCATTCCACGAACTGAAACGCCGTGGGTTTCGTTGCAGTACAGCATCATCAAGTACAGAAAGACACTTTTATCCAATTCATACAGACTGGAATGGAGGGAGGGGCTGAGGAAGGGCAAAAATTAGGAGTTAATGGGTTGTTTCCATGACAGAATGCAAGCAAGAAAATAGACTGTGCTTGGCGTGGTCTGCCTTTCGACCCTGCAGACAAAATGAATAGTGCCCAAATGTGCTCAGGAATGAGACAGAGAACTTCCGATAATGTTTGACCATCCGGCACCAGTGACGGACGGAGAGAGACTCTTTTCTGATTGGCCGAGTATCAGAAAATAAGACTGCCGATGGAAGGTTGAGGGGAAGTTGAGAGACGACAAGGGTGTCACAACCACTGTTACTGTTATCTAAAGATATTTTAAAAAATGAGAACTGAGAAGCGAGTTCATACATTATGAATTTCGGAATGGGAATACTCAACCCGTATTTCGAAAACCTTTATAATCCCTCGCTCGACAAAAACAACATATAGGTGCACGCCCATAAAATTAATTCACTTAGTTCTGAATATCTGGAAATAAAATTTATAAACAATAATATTCGAAAAATTGTGCGTTCTGTTAATGCTCCTCTCGAATGCTGTTTCCATTTGTCATTCATTAAGTAGATCATGACTGATCTGTACAGTTTCACCGTAGAGCAATAGATGGCAGGGGCACTGGGATGACGATTTAGCTTCCATGTTATATGGTAATGCAGGGTGACCTGAACCTGAGCTCGGGTGCCATTTGAGCACATATCGCGCAAACAAATTCCCAGAAGTTGAAACGGTAAAATCAACGACTATTCAAAACGTTTACGGCACACATTGATTATAATAACTACTCCATACAGTTCTTCAAGTAGCTACTTTCCTTATAATAGTGATAATGTTAACATTTCTACTACTTAGTCTATTAAAAAAACTATAATTTTCTTTTCAAGTTCTAGACAAATCTACCGGAATTGCATTATATTTAAAGTAATGCACACCTATATTTGCATATCACTTTTGCATTATTGTTCAATAAATAGGTCATTTTTTTCGCAATTTTGAATAAACTAAATTTTACTACAAATAAAAATTTAATGAAGAACTTAGAAAGGAAGCAAACCTTGAAATAGCGAAGTGCGAAATATGTGGCAGCACCGGTGATACCTAAAAGGGCAACAACTCCACCGACCTCATACTTGTGAGAAAGCAGCCAACTCTGGCTAATTATCGCATCTCTCCCCAGCCATGATGTCAATACTGGACACATAGGAATTCCTAAAATGTCTTAAAAATTTTATAACTGGCACACAATATATGAATACCGACACGCGCGATACGAGCTAAACACAAGTACTGTGCGTTAACAATAACAACTAACGGTACCGCATTTTGTCAATCATACGGCCGATGCTTACAAAAGACAGTCGCTAACATGAAATGAAATAATAAGTCAGGCAGATATAAAAGTTGCCGCTGACGTCATATACCTCACTATAACGTACCAGTTTGTCAACCGAAAGAACTATGAACACAAGCGAATTCAGGACGCCGATTCGGTTTTGAAGAGTCTGTAATTCGTCAGTTGGAAAATGGCAACTCGAAAACACGGGTAAACACTCTAGAGTACGCTGTCTTGTTCATATTAATTATGAACGGAATATTAGAGCAGTCAATGTTTTGGTGAATAGCTAAAACCTTTTCTGCTGTCCCTTCTCCCAAAACACACAAATAAGTATAAGCTACTTCGACGGTTCACATAAATTTGCTTGCGCACATTCCCCCCCCTCCACACACACACACACACACACACACACACACACACACACACACACACACACACACA